TGCCGAATGAATAAGTACTATTAATTGCAAGAGATTGTATTACCGTCTTTCCCCGAAAATAAGACACTGTCTTATATTTTTTTTGGCTCAAAAAAATGCACTAGGTCTTATTTTCGGGGTAGGTCCTTTTTTTTTTAATGTACAACAATCCACACTTATTACCGGTAGAAGACTTACAAGACAGGAGTGAGTGGCTAAGTTAAGAATATTGTGATCATGGCAGTCAGGGGTGCCGTACCTTACCAAGAGCAATTTGGTAACCAATCACTGGCCAGAATGAGCGAAGCGCGCTTTTACTATCAATTCCTCACAGGCGGAGTGCATTTGGTATCACTCCACATGTGATAGGAGTCGGCGCTATAGAGGAGGCATCGGCTTATGCAGCTCTGCTCCTTCCGCTGCCGCCTCGCTTCCTCCACGCAGGCTTCGTTGGCACCGCTGATTCTCTCCTGCGGCTCTTCAAGTTCCCCCTTATGCCACCACCGGCCCTGGGAATGGTCACAACTAGGTCTTATATTTTAGCAATTCCCAAAAATAGCACTAGGTCTTATTTTCGGGGTAGGTCTTATTTCCCGGGAAACAGGGTAGCAATCATTTTTATTGTATTATTAATATTGCACGAAGCATCTACATCAGTGGTGCCCACAAGGTCGATTGCGATCTACCAGTCGATCGCGTAGCCAGTCGATCGCACTGTCCTCTCCTCCCGCCCCTTCTCTGGATCCCCGCTGCGCTCCCCAGCGGGGATCCGAGAAGAAGTGAAGGAACCGGCGGCGGGGGAGGGCGGAGGACGGAGCCGCTGTCACAGAACTAATGCAGAGCGGTGAGGAGAGAGAGAGACGCTCGGCCAGGATCTGACAGCCGGCGCCTCTCTCTCCCCTCACTGCTCGTCCGTTCTGTCACAGCGGCTCCGACCCCCCGTCCCGTCCCGGGACATCACGTCCCGTTCATTCATGAGTTTCTCAATGGGGGGAAGCACTCTGTACAGAGGCTCCTCCCCATTCAGAAACTGCTTGATAGTAAAATATTTTCTGAATGAATGGGAAGCCTCTGTGCTTTCCATTCATTTAGAATAGAGGCTGCAGAAAAAGAGATTGAGGACTTTGTGTCCTCAATTTCTTTTTCTATTTTAAAAGGTAAATATCAATTAAAAAAAAAATAATGAAAATAAAATAAAAAATTGTAAAAAATAAATTAAAAAACGTTGTTTTTTTACTTGCCTCAGGCGCAAAAGGAGCTGGCTATGGCTATGCTCCCGTGGTGCTTGTGCGGCTGCCGGCTGAATGTGTCAGATGCTGCAGATGGAAAGGTGCAGGACAACCCATGTGCAACGTCGGCCACACGAGCACCACGGGAGGACAGGACGCCAGGACCTGTAGGGCGCAATGGAATGTAAGCCGGCCGACTCCCTGCGTTCAGGTGCGGGAGGGGGTGTGGAGCTGTATTGAAGTCAATGGCATCGCCCACATTGTGATCGCCCGCACTCGGAACGCAGGCACATTAGTGCCTGCATTCCGGTCCAGTGCGATCTGCAAAAATAGTGCTTGCAGCATTTTTGCGGATCGCACTGGACTGGAACACAGGCACTAATGCAGGCGATCGTACTGTGGGCGAGGGGCCTGCCTGTGGAGCCTGGCTGCGGTGCCATTGTCTTCAATGCACCGCCACGCCCCCTCCCGCCCCTGAATGCAGGTGATTTTTCGTTGGTAGATCGCAATGAGCTCGTCATTTGAAAAGTAGATCTCCAGACGAAAAATAGTGGGCGCCCCTGATCTACATGCTTACTTAATTGAATAATTTCACATTTTTTTTGTTATATATATTCTTACAATATTCAACCTATATTCAATATATATTGTTTAGTTTTAGCCATTGAAACATATTAGTATATATTATTAATATGGTGGGTTTTTGTTTTAAGTACAAAGAATTAGGTTGGGTATACCGTTATGTTGTTATCAGTGAAAGCATATGTGGAGAACCACGTTTCTTAGTACCAATTACTTCACTCTCAAGGTATTTGGAAGAACATTTAATTGCCGTTGTTCAGACTTTCTCAAAGCGGTATATCTATTAAGAGACAGTAAGTCAGACAGATGCTGCCATAGAACAGACCACCCTATTAAATGTATGGTTTTGTTCAAGGTTTAGGTCAGACGTCATCTTAAAGAATAATATTGGAATTTTAAAGGAAAAGTCCAAAATTATTTCTATCTGTTAATATTGCCCCCTTTAGGTAATTGCGGGGATGGGTTTTAGAAAAATGATACTTTTTTGACGTCATAATTAAGAGATAAGAAATTCACGCCTACATTCTTGGGGGATAAAAGTTAGGAGAAAGTTAAGAGAAGGGGGACGAAAAGGATGGAAAGAGGGAAAGAAGGAAAGAGTATACAGGAGGAGGTACAAAGACACTGGTGAGAGAGATCTGAAGCTGGTTGACGGGCTGACCAGGGGAACTGAATCAAAGAGGACCTGAACATCTCTTGTTCCTACACAGACACAAAGCTGACATCTCTCAGACAAAAGATTTGACAGTTTTTGGTAAAGTATACATTTCTATTTATCTGTAGGCAATTGACTAGCCATATATATCTGACTAGACCATTCGGTCCTTGTTAGTATCAAGATTGAATTGAAATAATTCTAGCTGCAGTAAGAATTGTCTCTTTTTCAATCTTAGTGATGTATACTTAAAAATAAAATAACTCAGTGGAAGTTTGCCTTAACCTTAAATATATTCTTGGCTAATAGCCAGTTCTGTGCATGGTATAACAAGTTAGTTTATGCGCAGTAGAAATTGAAGCTGGTGAATATCTGTTGGCTGGCAGAGGTCACGTGTCAAATCTGCACATTTTGTTGTCATTCTGCTGAGCTAATGATAAGCTACTAATTACATTCCAAGAAGTTACTTAGTTTTGTTACATTGATATTTTGAAATAATATCCTGTGGTTTTATTTTTCTCATTATCTGTGTTGATCAATATTATTGAAATTATGTTTGTTTATTACCAGTTACATTTTGATTATTATTCTGCACTGATTTTTAGTTATTAAATATATATATCTTTGCACCTTATTGTACTCATTTTGTCTTCAAGTTAGCGCAAATAAACAAACTCGAGTTATTTTGTGGAAATAAGTTAGGAATCTCCTTAATTACAGATCCTTGCTTGTTTTCGTAAATAGAAAACTGTTTATTTTATCAGAGTAAACATTCTGACGTAGGTCAGTAGGGTACTGATTCTGTTCGTAGACATGTTTCTGGATAGGTCAGTACAGTACTGATTCTGTCTGTAGACATGTTTCTGGATGGGTCAGTACAGTACTGATTGTTTCTTTATGGAGGTTTCTGCAGACATGATGTAATGATGTGTTAATTTGATTTGGATTCAACATCTGAAACTATGATCATGATTTTGATATTGTTATAATATTGTACAATCTGATGCTGTGTTGCTGTGTATACAGTATGTTGGGGATGTGCAAATACTATATAAATGCCTGTAAACAATAAATAAATAGGTTAACAATATGCCTCTTGTAGAACTACACCCATTTTAAGTTGAACGCCCTGCCCCTAATTATAGAACATTCTCCTGTTCCAATGTTTTGGTGGACTCAGCATAAAAGGTGTCCCTGGAAATGTTCTGAGATGTTGGCAACTATGGAATTGATTGTGCACAGCAATACCCTGAAAGATTTACCTTTTTATTGCTTTCCTCCTGCGTCTAGGCACTCCTGTGCCTTGAGCCCTATAGCTGTTTATCTGCAGCGTGAGGTCATCTCGTGTGTTCCTGACTGGTAGTCGCATAAGATTTGAAGTGATAATTTGAGGATGTCACTACCATGCTGTTTTATTTCTCCTCATAATTGTGTATTCAATATAGATTAGGGTAAATTAACCCCACTGACTATTATGGCAAGGATTTCATTCTTGCATTCTGTGTGCAGTGTCATTTCCCTATTGAAAACACAAGTCATCGGGGCCTAGCACCAATTTTCGACCCATACTTGCACCGCTGGGTTTCTTCATACAGAAAAAACAAGTCTCTTATGCTTGATATTTCATACTGTTTGTGTGTTTTCAAAGACAAACTACAGTGGGCCAGATAAACTATTGCCAGTGTGCCAAATGTTTGGAAACCTTATTTTTGGGATGCTTCAAATAATAGTTCAGGCTGAAAGGTTTGAAAAGAAAGATGCAACTAGTACACCAATGGTAAAAGAAACCCCCAAGTGCATCTTTTTGTACAAATAGTCTCACAAACTGGGCCAAATAAATAAAGGTTCAGAAAATGAGGTGTTTTTTTTTTGTGTGCACAGCTCAGAACTAAACAATAAACTTTTTTATGTTTTCAGTTTTTTATTTCAGTCAGGTAAATATATATTATTACATAGTTACATAGTACTTGAGGTTGAATAAAGACATTAGTCCATCAAGTCCAACCTATACATCGTATATTGAATATTTTATATTTAGTGTCTCTAGCCTGCTGGTGGAGATTAATTCTCCATTTCACGTTTACCATGCTAATCTTAACTGCTTTACTGAAACAAAAACTGCTGTTTGTACTTGAAGGTCAGATGTCACACATAGCCGAAGCACAGGAGTGACTCGCACCTGCCCTTCCTGCCTGATCATATGGCGCCCTAGGGAGATTTAATTAAAAAGAGACTGTCACAAATGGAAAACACTACTGCTACGCTCTCTATTTAGGAAACCCAAAAGCCTCTACCATGCCACTGTCATGGGTGCACCATGTATTCATTGTTTATTTTTAAAAGAAACATCTTAAATAGAGAATTAAACCATTAGGGTTAAATGCTTAGTTAAATGCTTCTAAATGAGAAAACAAAACCAATAACATTTCCCTTCACTTCAACTCCATCAGCCAAGTACATTTTGATGCATGTATCCAAACCAATACAATTTCAACCATTTCATTTTTTATATTTAAATATATATGTGCAATATAAATAATTGAAACTGTACTCACCAAGCCACCCAGAACTTGAATCTGGTATACACATATCAGTCTCTGCACTTGGCAGCACAAATCCAACTACAAACACTTCAACTCCATCAGCCATAAGAGCCATGCCAAGCACAAAGAAAAGGGTCCACTGAAAACGTCCATGCCCACATTCTTGAATAATGAGTTCATACTGCTGTGCTAGCTCTTCTTCATCAGCTTTCCTTTCACTTTCCAGCTCATGGCGGGCTTTATGCTCATCGGGGATAGGTTGACCTAGAGCAACCATCCCATCTTTTCCTTGACCGGGTATTCCTTGATATTCTCCATCATATATCTCATCATCTTCATCGTGTCCTTCTGTTGCTTCACTTGATCCCTCATCCTCGGGTTCTTCATTGTAGTTGCCATGTGTGTAATATGCCTCTTCATCTGGAAACTGATCTTGGATCCTGTGGGCATATCCATCATGCTCTACGTTCCTCCCTTTGTTCGGGCTTTTGGTTGTGTGTCTCTTGGCTTCTTTAGCTATGTCCTTAGCACCTCTCACCAGAGAAGTCCTGTCTCTGTAGGTATCTTCCATTGTGTACAAGAACTAGGTTTTTTGCAACTGACAGCTCAAGTCTGGTTTGATGGATTAGGTGCCTCTGTTGTTACAGAGATGATGTATTAGAGGGAACTTGAAGTATGCATCTGAAACATAAAGAGGACAAAAGAGTTTTAATAGTAAATCTCAGAACAGCTGCTTGTAAAAAAAAAAGAATCCTGCCGACCTGCCTCCTAATAGCATTATGAACACATGTTTTGTAAATAATTTATGTAGAATATGAATTTGCTGCTCAAGCCTGTGAAATGAAAAGGACAGTAAACATGTGTTTCATTGCGGCTCATTCATGGTTGTATTTACAGCTCCCTCCTTTTACCCTGCTGCTGTACATGCTGAGCCAGTGGAATGGTCTAAGGCGACGGTGTAAAAGGGAGCAACATCAAAGCATTAAATATATTGATTACTTATTTCTTTTATTTTTTTCCACGTCTGGCAAAAAACAACTGCGGGTCAGTTCAGCAGCAAAACTTGGAGGTAAGAGGTAAACAGACTGCTGAGAGAAATCACAAGACTCTGCAGCTAAACATACAGCCATTCTTTCTTCATCTATATGGAAGCCAGGAAACCAGCAATCTCAGCTCCCTATACACTATTCATGACAGAAAACCTTTAAGCTTCTACAACAGACAAATATATATTGTGTCAGTCAGTCAATTATACACTGTAGGCTGAAGGGGACAGTATAGTGTATTTTCAGTGAGCACATATGTGCAGTGATAATTGTAGCATTAGAGTCATTTTTTCTATGCAATTAAACATTTCAAAAAGTCTCCCACCATTGGCATTTATTCACTGGTGGGTCTGATTTGAAGTCTCTGTGTGGTTTTACATAGGCCTTTCATCTTATGTAGGGCCAGGGCTGAATTTGTCACAATTAAACTGAGGCCCAGCCTTGGGGCAGCAGGGAGCAGAGGGGCGGCAGAGGGGCGATGTTGCCGAGATCACTTGCGTGCAGCCTGCAGGTCCGTCCTCCCCCCGCCGTCCCCCCGCACCTACCTCTCTCCATGCTGCGTCCTTCCGGCTCCAGCTCCCGGCTCCGTCCTCTCCTCGCTGAAAAATAAATTTAAAAAAACTATACAATAAAAAAAGTATAAAAAAAAGTAAAAGATAAGATAAATAAAAATGTAAACAAGTAAAAAAATAAATAAAAAGTAAGAAACAATACAAAAATGTTTTTATACGAACCCTGCTGCCCCCGCCATCTGGTTGACATTCTCCATGGGGGCGGGGGGGGCACTATTTAAAGTGACATTAAACCCTCAGATTTTTTAACAAATACCAATACTGTAATGTGTGCCTTACTGTAATCCGTGGTTGTTTCCCTTCTCTTTGCTGCTCTTCCTTTTAAATCCATATCTCTTCTCATGCTGGGGGAGAACTTCCCTTTGCAGCTGAGTGCCTCTTCCTGTAGTGCTGGCTCATGTTGTGAACCTATACACAGACACCATGTATCCATTCCTGAGACAAGGCAGTCTGCTGCAAAACAGAAGTTCTGCCCAGCATGAGAAAAGAGAAGGATTTAAAAGGAAGAGCAGCAAAGAGAAGGGAAACAACCATGGATTATAGTAAGGCACACATTACAGTATTGTTTTATGTTAAAAAATCTGAGGGTTTAATGTCACTTTAAATAGTGCCCCCTTCCCCCATGGAGAATGGCAACCAGATGGCGGGGGCAGCAGGGTTCGTATAAAAACATTTTTTTATTGTTTCTTAATTTTTATTTATTTTTTTACTTGTTTACATTCATGCTGACTTATCAGCAGTGATAAGTCAGCATGTGTGGTGCTTTCTATTTATATATTCAACTCTATGAAAAAGAAGCAATGTGTTATGGGAAAGAGCCACACTGAGAATGTGTATATGGAATCTGCTTCCTCAGCTTCGTAGCCCCTATGTGATAGCAGTAAAGTTGAGTGTAAATAAAAAATTAAAAAAAGAAAGTAACATAAAAAAATTTAAAGTCCCCCGCCCCCCACATGCATGCACATATAACGCAAACACGCGTCGGGTGCACCTACATGCAAAAATTAATATTGATGAGCAGTAAAAGCTTTTAAAGAATCGCCTATGGGAGATTTTGGGTAGTTTTTTGCGGTATCACGTATGTACGCAATTTTAAGGCTTGACATGTTTGGTATATATTTATATGGCGTGACCCCCTCTTTTATATTTTACCAAAAAATTGGGTATTATATTCTGTTTATTTATTATGTATATTCTGAGTAAAACTTACTTTTCCCAACACTTAGAGCTGCTCTAAATAACCGACAGATGATCTATCACATGGCCACTGATCAGTCAGTTCTTAGTCTCTGCTCCGAGCAGAGAGCAATGACTGTCAGTCACTGCCCCCCTTTTCTCTCTGAGCTGGCTGGAAAGAGATGGTATGCGTGACTGGCTCAGGCTTACGCAGAGAGGCAGAGCCAGCTAAAAGCTAGGCAGACAAGGTGATTTCCAACAATATTGCATCTCTCTTGACTGCTTTAAACTGTCTCTTGACATGGCTTTAAACTGTCAGCTGGCATTTATTCAATTTCCGCACTCATCACCTGGTGCCAATCTTAATGTCTCATTTATTTCAATGTCTTTCACTAGCAGGAACAACATGGGTGCTGTATGCTCTTTGCAGACTTTTAATTGCTCCACTAGAGCAGTTCTTTAACCCACTTTCAATGCAAAAGTACCAAAAGGCTGAATGCAACCAACCACAAACAGTTTCTGTCGACACCGCAATATGATCTAAAGCCTTGATTCTCATCTGGTGGGTCGTGACCCAAAAGTGGGTCGCGACACTATGTTCAGTGGGTTCGCCGTGTGCCTTCCATTGTGCTAGGTGAGAGGCTCCTCAGCTCCTCCGGTCAGTTCTCTTGTCAAGCAGCCATTCAAAATATGCTGCCCGGTGCCGAATGTCTGCTTGAGGTGGGATGGGCTGGGGCTATTGCCGTGAGGGAGCTCCATCCATACGTACAACTCCCTTTGCGTGTCCTGTAGAGGTGGCTGCACCGGAGTGATGTCACATTCTGGCTCCCGGAACCGCTACAGGGCACGCAAGTGAGCTGTACAAGCATTGCACATATGGATGGAGCTCAATCATAGCACAGCAGCCCCCACTGGACCCCAAGCTGAGGATCAACTCCAGCTCTCGTAAGGTATAGGGACTGGGTGCATCTATTGAATGGCATCCCAAACACACCTCCTACCCACAGTTTGATTGCCCGCTTTGGAACATGCGGTACCGCAACCCTGTGCGTTCCATTGCAGTGCGACTTGGGTCGCGACTTAATGACCAAGGACAAATGTGGGTCCTGAGGTTACACAGGTTGAGAACCACTGATCTAAAGTGTCTGTGGGGAGCTGTGTTGGGGTGCTGTACTTTATACAGCAATGCCATCAATTGGGCTAAAAAAGGCTGCAGAAAACCACCCGTGGGTGGTGTGTCCCCATCTCAGCGCGCCCGTGTACTCAGGCGGCTGTCTGATGGGTCCTCACGGCCGAGGCCCATGGCTGCCCCCTGCAGTGCCTGCAGGGTTTTTTTTTTATTCTCAATCACAAAAAAATAGGGCATGCCTGATTTTTTGCACTTACACCGTACACATGTTCCAGTGTGGGTGGGAGGCATGTCTGCAGCACCATTGACATGAATGGAGCCACCACGCCCCCTCCCACCACAGAATGAGCCTTTGTTTATGCGATCCGTTACGTTCATCTCATGAGACTGTGCGATGAACGCACTGGGTAGTGTGAACAGGCCCTGAGTGATAAACACACCTTCATAAGGTTGTTCTGGACACTGTTCTGCCATACCTGCCTGATAGTTACCCTATCAGGCAGGGTGCTCAAGGTAGAAAAGTTTGAATAAACTTTATGTATGGGAATAATTATTGCAGTGGGGCAACCCACTTTGTTTTTAAAAGGAATGTTGTGTTTGAAATTAGTCATTTTATTTACAGAAGAAGCAAGAGAAAATCAAAACTTACCCTTGCAGTGGGGCGTGGGGCTATGCCCTTAACTGCAACAGTTAAGTGCTTGTTTTGTCTAGGGGACTCAAATAATGCATATTTACTTACCTGATGCTCGGTCCCGCCGCCTCTTCTCCCCTGGGCTCCATTGCTTTAAGGGCCACTGACGACATTAATCTTTACATATAGCTTAAAAGTGTGCTTAAGGGCCTGTTCACATGGTTTTCAGGTCCGGATCAGGTGCAGAACTGCAGACGCGGTGCTATTTGTTTTTGCCGCGTTTTTGATGCGTTCCAGTTAAAAAATTATATATATTTTTTGCTGGAGTGGGGCTGTCAGTATGTTAGCTGCAGTGCGTTATTGACGTGGTTTGACGCATTTTTGGCGCGTTTTGCGATTCCGGACCGTTTCCTGACCAGACAAAATGGGACATGCAGTATTTTTTCTGTCGTGACCTGAACGGACTGCGCACGTGAGAACTGTAGCCCATAAAACACATAGGGATACATTGGGATGCATTTTTAGTGCAGGAGCATACGGATCAGGTCAGCACAGAAAACGGACGTTGTGTGAACAGGCCCTTATAGCAGCTAGCTTCTGCGGTACTGTCTTTTTAAATAGTCCATAGTGCTCTGAGGATCTTTTGTCATGTATTAAATATGTATTTGAAAAACAAAGACTGTACATATAGCTTAAAAGTTTAAAAACATGCAAACTTAAAAAAGAGAATGAACCCAAAACCTTCACAAATTCACCTGTAACTGAAATCTGTCCATAGGAAAAGTACAAATGAATACATGGCAGATCATGTATTAGATAAAGTATTATGTCTGTGGGTTTAGACAATTCATCGCTAAATGCCCAGATTATGGATACAATGCAATACTAAGGTCAAACTGTGTGCAATCATTTTGAATCATTATCTGCATTGTTCATATCTCCTGGCTTTATACCGTTTTCTGTGTTTAAATAGAAGGAGAAAAAACAGGTGATTTTTAACCGTTGACTACTCTGTAATGTCAGAATGAATAAAAATAAGGTAAGCAAAGAGACTTTTCCAGCTCCAAGACTAGACTAGAGAAAAACTCAAAAGTTAGGAGACAGCTGTCATTTTTAAGGAGCTCCTG